TTATTAAGGCTTGTCTTGTGGCCTGGCACGTGATCTGTCTTGGAGAATGTTCCATGTGCACTTGAGAGGAATGTGTTCCACGTACTGCTTTTGGATGGAGAGCTCTAAATATACCTGTTAAGTCCATCTGGTCTAACTTGTTGTCTGAGGCTGATGTTTCCTTACTGATCTTCTGTCTGGATGGTCTATCCAATGATGTAAGTGAGGTGTTAAAATCCCCTACTATTCTTGTACTGCTGTCGATTTCTCCTTTTAGGTCTGCTCATATTTGCTCTACATATCTAGTTACTGCTAAAATTGGGTCCGTAAATATTTACAAATGTTGCATCCTCTTGTTAGATCGATTCCTTTATCACATAATGTTCTTCTTTGGCTCGAATTACAATGTTTGGATTTTTCTTTTCCCTCCTTCAGTGGACTGAGAATCAGAAGATGATTTGTTAGCTGTGCAACCTGGAACAAAGCACACCCCTTCTCTCAGTCTGTTTTTTTCTCTGTAAAATAGAAACAACAAATTCTTCTCCCAGGCTCAAATAAGAGAGTGTGTATAAAAGAGCTTTGTGAACTGTGAGATGCTGTCCAGATACGAAAAGTGACAATGCTCATGATGATTATGCAACAACCAGATGTTCAGGAGAAGATTTTTTTTTTTAATTTTTCTAACGTTTATTTATTTTGAGAGAGAGAGAGAGAGCAAGCATGCACAAGTGGGGGGGAGGGCAGAGAGAGAGAGGGGGAGAGAGAATCCCGAGCAGGCTCCACGTTCAGCACAGAGCCCAACATGGGGGCTCAGTCCCATGAACCATGAGATCATGACCTGAGTGGAAAGCGAACCAGACGCTCAACCAACTGAGCCACCCAGGTGCCCCCTTAGATTAAATTATTTGAACCTTTCACAAAAAATTGAGCATCAAAAGATGCTATAATTGGGGGCACCCAGTGGGTCCAGTCAGTGGAGCATGCAGCTCCTGATCTCGGGTCCTGAGTTCGAGCCCCAGGTTGCAGGGTAGAGTTTACTTAACTTAAAAAAGAAAAAAAAGGAAGAAGATGCCATAATTGGACTTGTTTTCCTTTTGACCCCTTTAGGCATTTCTCCCACCTCCAACCCCCTACCTCTGGCAACCACTCATCCGTCCTCTGTATCTGTGAGCTCGGTTTTTTGGTTCTGTTTTTTGTTTTGTTTCGGTGTTTTGTTTTTGTTTTTTAAGATTCCATGTGTAAGTTATTTAGAATATTTCTCTTTTTCTGTTTGGTCTGTTTTACTAAGCACAATGACCTCAAGGTCCATCCATATTGCAGATGGAAAGATTTCATTCTTTATTATGGCTGAGTAGTATTCCATTGTGTATATACACCATAGTTTCTTTGTCCATTCATCCATTGATGGACACTTAGGCTGTGTCTATATTTTCATTCATAAATAAGGCTTCAGTGAACATAGGGGTGCATGTACCTTTTCCAGTTAGTGTTTTCATTTTCTTCAGATAAATAGAAGGGGAATTGCTGGATCATATGGTAGTTCTATCTTTATTTTATTTTTTAATGTTTATCTGTTTTTGAGAGAGAGAGATAGATAGAGCGTGAGCAGGGGAGGGGCAGAGAGGGAGGGAGACACAGAATCCGAAGCAGGCTCCAGGCTCTGAGCCATCAGCGCAGAGCCCGATGTGGGGCTCAAACTCGTGAACTGTGAGATCATGACCAGAGCCAAAGTTGGACGCTAAACTGAGCCACGCAGGTGCCCCTATCTTTAATTTTTATGAGGAACTTCCTTACACTTTTCCATGGTTGGCTGCACCAATTTACATTCCCACCAACAGCGAATAAGGGTTTTCCTTTTCTCTCCATCTTTGCCAACACTTGTTCTTTCTTGTTTTTTTGAAAATAGCCATCCTAACAGATGTGGTGTGGTATCTCATTGTGGTTTCGATTTGCACTTCCCTTGTGATTCATAATGTTGAGCATCTTTTCACGTACTCGTTGACCATCTATATGTCTTCTGTGGAAAAATGTCTATTTGGATCTGCCCATTTCTTAATTAGATTGCTTGGGTTTTCTTGTTACTGAGTTGTAGGAGTTCTTCACATTTTGGGTGTTAATCCCTTATCAGATACATGATTTGCAAACGTTTTCCCATACAGTGGGTTGCCTTTTTATTTTGTTGATGGTTTTCTTTGCTGTGCAGAAGCTTTCTGGTTTGATGTAGTCCCACATGTTTATTTTTGCTTTTGTTTTTACTTTTGGTAATCAAATTTTGAAAATCACTACCAAGACCTATGTCAAGCAGCTTTTCCCCTCTGTTTTCTATGAGGAGTTTTATGGTTCCTGGTCTTACATTCAAGTCTTTAATCCATTTTGGGTTAAATTTTGTGTACGTTGTAAAATAGTGGTTTCATTCTTTGCTTGTGGCTGTCCAGTTTTCCCAACACCATTTATTAAAGAGGCTGTTCTCTCCCTCTTGTATATTCTTGGCTCCTTTGTCATAAAGTGTTTGACCCTATATATTTGGGTTTATTTCTGGGCTTTCTCTTCTGTTCCATTGATCTGTGTGTCTGTTTTAATGCCAATACTATATTGTTTTGATTACTGTAACTTTGTAGTAGAAATCTGAAATCAGGAAGTGTGATGCCTTTAGCTTTGTTTTCCTTTCTCAAGATGGCTCTGGCTATTCAGTCTTTCATTACTCCATACCAATTTGGGGATCCTTTTTTCTATTTCTGTGAAAACTGCGATTAGAATTTTGATAGGAATTGCGTTGTGTCTGTAGGTGGCCTTGGGTAGTATAGACATTTTAACACTGTTCTTCCAATGCATGAGCACAGAACATCTTTCCATTTACCTGTGTTTTCGATTTCTTTCCTTAATGTCTTATAGTTTTCAGTATTTAGGCTTTCACCTCCTTGGTTAAGTTTATTCCTCGGTGTTTTATTCTTTTTGATGCAATTTCAAATGGGATCACCTTCTAAATTTCTTTTTCTGATAGTTAATTATTAGTGTATAGAAATGGAACAGACTTTTGTGTATTGATATTGTATCCTGCAACTTGACTGAATTCATTTATTAGTTTGAACAGGTTTTGGGGGGGAGTCTTTAAGGTTTTCCACATGTCATCTGCAAATAGCGAGTTTTACTTCTTTCCTTTCTTGTTTCGATGCCTTTTATTTGTTTTTCTTGGTAATTGCTCTGGCTGGGATTCTAATTCTATATTGAATAGAAGTAGCAAAAGTGGGTATCTTTATCTTATTCCTGATATTAGAGAAAATAATAACAGCTGAAACTTCTCGCCATTGAATGTGATGTTACGTTGGGCTTGTCACATGTGGCCTTTATTATGTTGAGGTATGTTCCCTCTATACCCACTTTGTTGGGAAATATCCATCATAAATGGATATTAAATTTTGTCAGATTCTTTCCCTGCATTTCTCAACATGATCATATGATTTTTATTCTTCATTTTGTTAATGTGATGTATCATGTTCATTAATTTGCATGTGTGAACTATCCCTGCATCCCTGGAGTAAATCCCGCTTGATCATAGTGTATGATTCTTTTAGCATGTGGGTGAATTTGGTTTGCTAGTATTTTGTTGAGCATTTTTGCATCCAAATTTATCAAAGATAGTGGCCTATAATTTGTTTGTAGTGTCCTTGTCTGGTTTTGGCATCAGGGTAATGCTGGCCCCAGAAATGAGTTTGGAAGCATTCCCTCTTCTGTTTTTTGGGGTTTTTTGTTTTTGTTTTTTATTTTGGTTAGGGGGAAGCTTGGGAAGAATCAGTATTCATTCTCTGAATGGTAGAATTCACCATTAAAGCCGTCTAGTTCTGGCCTTTTGTCTTTTTGGAAGTTTGAAATTGCCGATTCTTTTGGGTTGTCCAAATTGTTGCTGTGTATTTTCACAGTAGTCCCTTTGATCTTTTGGTTTTTTGTGGTTGTAATATCTCCTCTATCATTTCTGATTTTGAGTCCCCTCTCTCTCTCTTTTGTTCTTGGTGTGTCTAGGTAAAGGTTTGTCGATTTTGTTACTCATTCAAAAAAATCTGCTCTTTTGTTGATCTTTTTTCCTATCTTTTTTTGGAATCTATTTCATTTATTTTTGTTCTGGTCTTTGTTATTTCCTTTCTACTAACTTTGGGCTTTGTTCTTTTTCTAGTTTGTGAGGTGTAACATTTGGTTATTTATTTCAGACTTTTCTAGCTTCTTGAGGTAGGCCTGTATTGCTATAAACTTACCACGTAGAACCATTTTTGCGGCATCCCAAAAATGTTGGTCTGCCTCTAGGTTAAATTCTATTTTGTCTGATATAAGTATAGCTCTCCCAGCTCTCTTCTGGTTTCCACTCGCACAGAACATCTTTTCTGTCTCCTCACTTTCGGTCTGTGTTGTCCTTATGTCCAAAGTGCGTCTTTTGTGGGCATCACATGGATGGGTTGGTGTTTTCAGTCATTGTATATCTTTTGATTGGACAAATTCATCAGTTTGTTTTAAATCACTGTTGACAGTGTTTTGCTCTGGTTTTGCATAAGCTGGTTGACCTGAATAAAGAAAGCCTAGACACTGTTTTTGTCTCTCCTTTTACTTCCACCTTGGAGTTAGTTGTGATAAGGCAAAGACTGTTTATTGAGTACCTGCTGCATGCAAGGCACAGTGCTGTGTGTTGACTCATTTGATCCCTTTCATAATCCTGCTTGATAGGTATGATTCTTTTCCCCATCATAGGGGTGAGGAAACTGAAACTCAGAGAGCTTAAACCTGGGCAGCTAGCAACTATTTATGGAGCTCTGCATCTGTGCCAGGCGGTGGTGTGGACTGACCCAGACCAGTCCCTGGGAATTGGGTCGTCCTCCAGCCACCCTTCTGCCCTCTCGGAGTGCCGGCAGTGCTGGTCTGGCTCTGGACATGCACACTGTGAATCCCCGCATCCAGCTCATGGTCAGGAGGAGGGCCACTGGTGGGGGCGGCCTGGAGAAGGTTGGGAGATGACCATGCCTTTTTTTTCTTAACAGGGAGGACCTGCTTCTCTCTGATTTCTGGAGTCTGGCCCTAGGTGGGTACCGCCTGGCGAAGGCTGGGGGTGGTAGGTGTGGGAGGAGAGCCTGAATGTGGGCAAAGGAAGGAACACAGTCCTCATTGGATGATATTTTCTTCACAGAGCGGTGTCCATGCTGGGTTCTCATTCTGACTTCCCACTTATAACCGTGTGCCTTGGCACTTAACTCTGAGCCTCAGTTTTTCTTTGAAAGAGAGGTAACAAAGTACACACCCTGTGGTGTAATTTTGAGGATTAAATGAGGCTCTTCAGTTAAGTGCTTGGAACAGTGTTTGCCTGTGCATGGGAGACCATACGTCCAGCTGTCACTGTCATTGTTGAAATGTATACTTAGCGAGCTCTTTTCCCCGACTTTGCAGTGGAGGCTTGTTTTTCCCCACATGGTTGTAACCTCCTCCTCGACAGAATCTGTGGCCATCTGAATATTAACATGTGCGGCAAACATACCAGCAGTCACAGTCTGTATGGAGGGACATTTAGTTATTTTTTCCTTCATTTTTCAGTCATTCTACATAACGGTGCAGGGAGCACCTTTACGCATAAAGCTTTTACCAAATGTAGGGTGATTCTCTTCGGATGTATTCCTGGAAGAGGAATTATGCAGTGAAAAGGCGGTGACTAAGTTGATATCTGTTGTCAAGTTTTTCCAGAACTGCTTTTACCAATCAGTTCCTCACATGCCCTTTCCCAGCCGGGGGTCTCATTCACAGGTCTCTTCACTAAGAAGTGAAAACTGCCGTCTTGCTGTGGAAACATAGGGCCTTTTGTTTTTCGGGTGCAGGTTTGTTCAAGTAAGTTCAGTGCCAGTGAAATGAGAGACCAGAGAACCTGCTGCTGTAGAAGAAGATGTAAACAGATTATTTTTTGTTAGACTCAAAAGCCCCAGTCTACCTTTTTTATTCTTTGAACTTTTTACACGATGTTGAGAGCTCTGCTCCTCGGTTCTTTGTTATCATCAAAAAAGTAGGTACTTCAGAGCATAACCCACACTTACCAGGCACCTCCCACCAAATTAGAATGAGCTCCCATTAGAGCTTTAGGTGGAAACTGTGCCCATAAATGAAACGTATTTTTTGCTGGAGACATCTGTGGGGTTGCAGGCTGTGGGCATGCAGGGACCAGGACAGCCTGTCTGTGTGGGCGGGCGTGGCCACATGCTCCAGGCATGTTTGGGAGCGAGGCCTGCAGCCTTCTTTCTGAGGAGCTGAAGCCTTTACTGGCCTCCTTTTCTCCCTGGGGCTGTGGCCTTGCGTGGATGGTTGGGTTCACGGGGCCAGAGCATGCCCTCTGACTGTGTTCCGGGCCTGCTCTTTCAGAAACCATCAACGGCTGTCTGACGAAACATCTGGAACAACTGAAGGCCCCAGTGGGGACTCTCTCGGAAGTCTTTGGAAACCTGCATCTCGACTCCTCGCCAAATGAGTCAGATGCGGCCCCCGGCTGCCTCCCAGGAGAGACCCTGGTGCCAGGAACCTGCTGTCTGAAGTGTGTATGCTATGGCCTTGGGAACTTTGCCACCTGCGTCATGGCTAGAAACCAGCTAACGTTTTTGCTTCTCTTCCTGGAAAAGTGCCAGGTAAAGTTTTGGATTCTTCTTTATCGCCCCTCCGCTGGTCTTGCACACGGATCTTCAGGTTGATGGGACTCATTCTTCCCTCCCACAGATTCCCAGAAGGCACTGCTGGGTGTATGACCCTGTGTTTAGCCAACTAGAAATTGCAGTTCTGAATAGCCTTGGTGTGACTGTCCTCAGTGAGAACGAGGTGAGCGGGGGAGGGGAAGGGGAGGGGGGAGCTGTGTAACTGACGGGACCCCGGGCTGTGCCATGTAGACACCCTCGCTCTGAGACAGCAGTCAAGTGTCCCACCACACACTTGCCTTCCCAGTGCCTGGAACGTGGGACCCATCAGTACCCGCATTGTGGCCTATGTGGTACCCATCACAGAAAAATAAATCATACAAGTGGCGTGAACTGAAACCTGTTATATTTGCAAAATTCCTTTTATTTCTTTTGAGGGAGTGTAAGAAGGGGAGGGGCGGAGAGAGAGACAGAACGAACAAGAACCAAGCAGGCTCTGCACCAGCAGCATGGAGCCCAGTGCAGGGCTCGAACCCACGAATTGTGGGATCATACCTGAGCCAAAAGCAACAGTCGAGGCTTAACTGACTGAGCCAGCCAGGTGCCCCTGTTTGCAAAATTCTTGTGAGAATTGTGTGTCCAGGGACTATGGTAATTTACTAAATTGGTATTTACTGTGGGATGAAAAAATGAAGGGCTACAGTCTCGGTGCCTCCAATGAGGGCCTCCTGGTTGGAATTTACTGTCCTAGGGGAGGGTATGGAAGGGGACAGAATAGCTCTCTCTGAACCTGTAGCCATCACACCCGTAGCGTCTGGCTGGGTGGCGGGTAGATGCTGTGCCCTGCATGCCCTAAATAGTTGGCATGTGAAATTTCCGAGCCCTGGAAGACAGACAGTCCTTTCCTAGGCAGAGGGCAGAAGCCAGCGTACAGGCACAGACTTCTGCAAGTAGTTTTGCCTTGTTTGGGGGATTGCAGACAGAATAATCCTCTGATTCCTGTGTTCCAAAACAGCCATCTCCTTGCTTTTTACGAAACTCCAAAGCTAGGCCCAGCTGAGAGAAGAGAATCCTTTGCCGGTGTTGGCGAGGCCCTGAAACGCTGCCGCTCCCTTCACCCCATCTTTTCTGAGTGCCTGCCCCGTGCCGGGCGAGATCTGGGGGGAGGCCAAGATAAATGCAGGCCCGGTCTTCAGGGAGCCCGTGGTCCCATCAAGGCGTGTGGCCTGTAACCAGTAAACGGGGAGCAGAACAGTGAGGGGGAGGGGCGCCTGGGTGGCGCAGTCGGTTAAGCGTCCGACTTCAGCCAGGTCACGATCTCGCGGTCCGTGAGTTCGAGCCCCGCGTCGGGCTCTGGGCTGATGGCTCAGAGCCTGGAGCCTGTTTCTGATTCTGTGTCTCCCTCTCTCTCTGCCCCTCCCCTGTTCATGCTCTGTCTCTCTCTGTCCCAAAAATAAATAAAAAACGTTGAAAAAAAAATTTAAAAAAAAAAAAAAAAGAACAGTGAGGGGGAGCTACCACGTGCTGGAGCTGAGAGGGGAAGGCACCCCGCGCTGGCTGGAGGGAGTCCTGGGTCAGAGCCGAGCCGGGACCGGAGGTCCACCGGGTGTCTGCTAGAGGGACTGAGGCAGGGGCACAGGCCGCCTGTGCAGAGCAGCTGTTGGGGAGCCACTGCCCATTCATGAACACAAGGGAGAAGAGGACGGAGCGCAGAGGCCCAGGGGAGGCAGGCCCAGGCAGCAGGGGGAGGGCCTGTGTCCCTGCCGCGGGTCTGGCTATGGAGCCACGGTTCTCAAAGAGGGGACAGTTGTATCCCCCAGGGGACAGCTGGAAAGGACCGACTGTGATAGGGGTCTGCAGAAAGGGACACAGGAGGCCTGGAGTTCACCAAGCACAGTCCACGGGCACAGTAACCGTTGCCCTCCATCCTGCCCTTGCCGTCACGGACCCAAAGGCCCCTCTGCGGACCCAGAGCTGCGATCACAGGACACACATTTATTCAGTCGACACAGATTCTTTCTGGACATCGGGATTTCCAGACTTGTAGCCCCGTGTCGCTGTATAAGTTTCAGTCGTGCTACGTTAGAACAGAAGCGTTCCAGAGAGGGGGGCATCTGTTTCCAGGGGATAGGTTCACCTGCCTTCCCCGCAGCTCACTGTTCTTTCCGGCGAGGCTGACACAACCTGGAATACGGGTTGAAGGCGTCCGGGGTGATCGGATACACGTGTCTGTTGTGAAGCGGCTCCAGCGAGGTTCGTTAACACGCGTGTCCACTCACACTCGTACGCTTTTATTTACTTTGTGGTGAGAACGCTTCAGCTCGGTCCTCCCCTCCCCCTCCCCTCGTGCTCAGAGCGGAGGGGTTTACACTGTGTGTGTGGCGCCCCCAGGAGGGAAGACGCAGCGTGTGGGGCGAGCCCACCATCTTTTACATGCCCCACTGCGGGACGGCCCTGTACAACAACCTCCTGTGGAGCAACTGGTCGGTAGACGCCCTTTCCAAGATGGTCGTCATCGGAAACAGCTTCAGGGGCCTTGAGGAAAGGTGAGCGGGGAACGGGGACGTGCCTGTTCCTGACGGACCCGCAAGCGGGAGACGTTGCCATGACTCTCGTGCCCAGAGACACTTTCCCGTAGGAACCCGGACGGGCTCAGAGGGGGGCGTGAACCCCGAGTCAGGCTGCGGCACGAGTTAAGGAGTCTTTTGCCAAGATTCCCTCCCTTCCCTTATGACGGACAAGTTTCCGAAAGTGGGGGAAACCGACCTCTCCCACAGCTGCTCACACCTACACACACCAGGGTGTCCACCGCCACGTCTCCCTTGATGAAATGGGGGGGGGGGGCTCACGCTTTCTCTGATTACTGCACCTGTTCCACAGTCCCCCTCCTTTTTAAAACGTTTGTTGCCTTTAAGCCACCTTGCTTTTCTGTAATACGCTCTCATTCCTCCTAGCCGTGACGTTGTTTTCTTTAATTTCTAGGTTGCTGGCAAGGATTCTGCAGAAAAATTATCCCTACGTCGCAAAGGTATCTAAACAAAGGGGCAGGGATGGGAAGGGGTGTGGGACCAGACCGCTTCTCCCTTCCTGTGAAGAACTCTGCCTGGACGTGCGTGGGAGGACGCTGACGAGGGGCTCACGGAGGGCGCGGTGAAGGTACTGCGCCCGCTGAGTTTTCTCCATCGCTCTGTGTCGCAGAAAGCGATGACCTGCCCTTCGTTCTCAGTATCGAGCCCTACATACTCACTGCCCTTGGACCTTCCAGTTCATCACCAAAAGCACTTGAGTTAAAATATCCTAGTCCTTTTATTTTTTTTAAGGTAACATGGGGTGACTAACAGATCACACACAGGAGCGTGGGGTTTACTGTGACCGTCCGGTTTGTACATTTTACATCTGAATGTTCCTGCTCAGGTTTTGCAGGGACTGGAGGAGCTTGGGCTGCCGGAGACGCCACAGTACGCAGACGTATTCAACGACACCTCCGTCCACTGGTTCCCTGTACAGAAGTTAGAACAGCTCCCCATGGACACGTGGGCATTTCGGGAAGAACCAGACTATGGGGACTGTGAGGACCTTGAAATCATCAGGAACAAGACAAGAGGTCCTTCGGTTGCTGACCTGAAGTCACCATGACACAGTGCCAGCCGAGGCAGAAGCAGCTGCCCCCGGAGAGGACGGGGGAGGCTCCACGGAGGGAGTGCCAACAGCCCCCTTCTTTGCAGTGGGCCAGATTGCAGAGCACCGGGAATATTCCATTCGGTTCTCCCCCTTAGACGAGGACGTGCTGTGGAAGGGCTCGGCATAAAGATGCATCTCCTGAGCGTTGTGTCTTATGTCCTTTGCTGGCAACCTGACCCAATAGGGAATACTCCCGGATGGAGAGTGAGTACTCTTTCAAGGCCGGTTTCAAACACTGTTTATTCATAACCACGTCCGTCTCCAGTGCACGTGTCCAGCCTGCTGCCCTCTACTTGGCCATGTCAATCAGGCTCTGCAGGGAGGTGGGCACCCAGGTCTTCTCGCCCTGGACGAACACCACCCCGCGATCGATGTAGATGACGATGCGGCCAAACGTGTAGAGCTGCTTCCCTTCGTGTCGCTTCCCGATGACCGGCATGAAGACGATGTTGTGCTCCTCGGCCTTGGTCTCAATGAGGTCCTTGAAGTTCATGGGCACGGAGCTGGCGGCCACGCCGATGCCCCTCTGGGCCATGTTCTCAGCCTCCCGTCGCTCCTGCATGGCCTCGTACTGGAAGTCCTTCCTCCGCTCTGTGTGGGTGAGGTAGGCGATGTTCTCCCGTGCCCCGGGCTGCATGTAGGCACCTGGGAGACAGGGGAGGGGAGGGGGGGAGTGAGGACAGGTGTTGTGACCCACAGGGAAACGGAGACTGCTTTGGCAAAACCTGCCTGTGACTCCGTGAAGGGCGGTGGGGCCTTGGGGGCACAGAGAACTGAGATGGACACTAAGCACCTTCCGGGAAGCTCAGGCAGCTGTCCGCCGCCACAAAAAAACTGGAATGATGTGTAATAACCAGAGAGATGCTGAACATAAAATACCACAAGAGATTCATCCTCCCAGGGCCGGAAACCTTGACAGCACACGGCCTAGCCTAGTTCTATTTTTAATGTCTCCATACAGGCCCGGCCCCAGAAGGATTCAGAATGCAACTGGGGAGCCGAAACAGCTGCTGAAGGACAGCACGGGGCCACAAATGCCCGGTGCCGAGGAGTGTGGATGGGAACAGCTCTGGGAGGTGGCCTGGGCCCGGGGTGGCTGAGGAAGAGTTTCTAGAGAGGGTGGAAAAGGGAACGGTCCCCTGAAGGACCTGGGTAAGTAGAGAGCACAGAAGTACACCCACCTCATTAAACAGAACGTATAACCTACGAACTCGATTTTCATGGAACAGACTCAGTCAAAGGATTAAAGGCTCAGGAAATAGAAACTACAACCCTAGCTGTCACTCTGGCTGGGTAACCTTGAACAGGCTCTCGGCCCTGAGGAGCTTATCTGGGAGGCAGCGCTGGCCTGGATACTCCGGTGGCCTTCACATGGAGACTCGAGCACACTGATACAGGACAGACTGACTTGGTCGGGAGCTGGGGACAGATATTAAGTGGACAAGCACCTGCCTGCTGCGGAGACAGCAGAGACCCCGCCCGCAAAGTGCGACACGCACACTGTAGCTCACTCGATTCCTGGAAGTGCGCATTAGGACTGTTTCACAAGGAAACAAAATGGGCCAGGCGGGCTTAGCAACTGCTAGGTGTCAGGCTGTGCTCCGGCTCCTGGTCGGGGGGCCATCACGCCTGAACAGCACACACAGCTGTTCACGGAGGCATGCCGGCGAACGTGAAAAGCCACACGGCAGTGATCACGAAGGTGGCCCCAGAGGTAGGCCCCCTACAGTGAATCCAGCCACAGTCAGACTCGGGTCAGGGGCAGATGCCCCTCCCAGTGCCGGGAGAGCTGGGCAGCGTGTGCTGGCTAACTGTGTAACCAGGTCTGCTGGGCAAGTGTCCGCGTTGGAGCGGGCCGCCCACAGGGACTTGATCCCGTGTCATTTACGTGATCAGAAGCACGGCGCTCAGGGCCAGGATGTCCCAAGCGGACTCTCCACTCACCGACGTTGGAGGACACTGCCCTGTTCATGATATCGAGCGCTTCGTTGAATTTGTCCTTGACGGATGGGTGTGCCAGCACTTGATCTGAGAACATGGACTTCCAACCCAGGTACCACTTGGTGATCTCCTCATAATTTGGGCTGTTACTAAGCCAAGAGCACAGCACCTGCCAAAAAGACAACAGGAACCACGCATCCATAAGGCAGAACTTCAAAGGGACCTTTTACTTTTGTTCTGATTGTGGTCCTGCAAGCTGGTGACACTTGCAGGGGTTTCTAGGGGCTGAACAGTCTGGCATTTAGAGCGTGGAATTTGGAGTCAGCTTGGCAGCTAAGTGCTTTGCACATAAACTCCCTGAACTGCATCCGCCCGTCTAAACAAGATGCCAGTCCCTACCCCCGAGTTTCTGTGTGAGGAGTGGAGGTGACGCACATCAAGTGCTTTGCATCTGGCACATGGCAAGCGTCCAATAAATGGTGGTCACTATTACTGCTTATTTATGTTACATATCACAGCTCTGTTATCTGACAGTTGTCCAAGGATCAAGCTCCTAGTCAGACCTCGGCAGAAAACTGAGTGAAGCCTCTCTGCCTCCAGCCCATCCCTCAGAAGACACAGCAAAGCAGGGTGTACCTGAAGCCACTTGGGGAAGAAGTGCTTTTCGAGAAGCCCCACCAGGCTGGAGACGGAGATCATTCCTTCCCAGTCGATGACCCAGTAAAAAGCATCCATGTGCTGCTGGTGAGGGTTAATGACTAATTCCCCAAGACACATCCCTGCAAAAGAAGCCCGGTCTTTAAGGCAAAGCCACAGAAGCACAAAGGGCAAACTCTCCAGCGGACAACGCTGGTCGTTAATCCATTTCTATACATCAATCCCAAGCTCTTGATAGGGCAACTCTTAAAAACCATTTTCCTCTATAACCCAGAAATACTGTATATTTAAAATCAAACACCACAAAAAAAAAGGCAGAACACCAACGTTTCTCATGTCACCAGAAGCCCAAACGAGACCAGTTAGGAACCAGGAGGCACGGGGACTCTGATGTCCCTGATGCCAGAAGAACCCTGGGCACGTTTATGTCCCAGCTCTGCACGAAGCGGCACTCGTGGTGAGCAGCACCATGTGCTGGGCTTTCTACGGAGCTCCAAGAGCGGGTCTTACAGGGCACGGATCACGTCACCGCTGGCCACAGACACGGTGCCACGGCCGCTGGCCCTAACGCACCTTCCCCGTGTGCTCACCCAGCTTGGGCACTATGTTCTTGACCATGAATGCCTCCCAGGAGCCGGGGGTGAAGACATCTTTCCAGGGCTGGAGGATGAGCTTGGCCGAGGAGTCGCTGGGGTGCCACTTCTGCAGGGCGCTGGACAGCTTGCTGCGGATGGGGGAGTAGAGCGGCTCCAGGCGCGCCTGCATGAGGGGCAGCCACGGGTGGACCCACGAGTGGATGGGCACGGTGTCCGTCAGCGGGTTCCAGTTTTCCACCTGCAGGAGCAGTTCACGATGCGCTGTGCGGTCAGTGGCACGGAGGCCGAGTGCTCCCCTGGCCAAGGCCCACAGGCCCCTCTGCATGACCAAACTAACACCCACACAACTGCGAGAGGTCTCACAAATGGCACAAATTCTAATTAGAGAAACCAAAGAGATGAATTCCCTGCTAGGGGACTCTGGGGGAGAAGTGCCGACAAAAGGGCCCGAGTTGCCCATAGGACAGCAGCTGTGTCAGCAGATTCTGTCAATCCCAGGCCCTTCAACAGCACTGAGGGACTGGAGAGGTGCCCCTGGTCCCTGCCGATGGCTGCCCCCCGCAGCTCTGGGCCCTACCTCCTTCTGCAGCTTGGGGAAGATGAGCTGATCCAGTATGTTATCTAAGATCCACACGGGAATAATTTGCACCCAGCTGTCCAAGAAGTCCACCATTGGGTCACAGTTCCTCGGCTGCCATTGAGTGACGATATTTCGAACAAATGGCATCCAGACTTCCCATATCAGCCTGCGGGGGAAAGGCGAGGGCAGGATGGTGGCACCGATGGGGTTTCAAAGCAGACAAAGTCCACCGCCAGCAGCCCTCCAGAATAAGAAAGAGAGCGGCACGGACATCCAGGCACAGCAAACCACCAGGCCAGCCCCCAGACTGCCCGGACCTGCGCCTGCCTCCCCCTTGCCCTGCCAGCCGCCTGCTCACCCCCCCACCAGGCCTGTCTCCCCGGCAGAGCTCACCTGCTCGGCAGCGATGCTGCGGGGACACAAGGGTCCCCTCTCCAGGAACTGCAGGCCTTCCCACCTGACGCCTCACCTCTCGGGTCACAGCTTCAATGTCCCTCCTCACAGAAACCTCCACCTCCAACTACTCCCGGCCCCCAAGGAGGCATGTGTCCCGGCTTTATTTGTCTGCTTCCTCACCCCCACCTACCTCTCCCATTCCCCACACACTGAGGCTGGCTGCCACCTGGCACAGCACGGCCCTGACAGACAGGTGACAAGCACGGTGTGAGCGAGCGGACTCCTGGAACGGGGCCGGCACGCGTGGAGGAGGCGGAAGAGGCCAGTGCCCGCCTTCCCCAGTGGGATCGTCCCCCCACCTGTGCCCAGTACCTGTGAAAGGCGTCCGCCGAGAGGTCCTGCCCACCGTGAGATAAGAGCTGGTCGTTCTCAAGGAGGCTCTTCCACCTGGAGATGACCTCCGTGCCGTACGCGCAGTCCTGGGGAGAGATGCAGCCGTCAGCCGAGCTCCCTGCCCCGTGCGGCCCTTCCAGGCCGGGCCCATCCTGCCAGCCACTCACCTTGAGCGGGTCCCACTCCTTAAAGTACTCCTTCACGAGCGGGTAGACGATGGCCACAGCCAGGTCCACACGGTCGGACATCCGGTACTCCTCGTAGTACTTGTCCTGCAGGGTCTCGAAGACGCGGGCGCACTCGTCCAGGGTGAGGGGGTCGCCGCAGGCAGGCTGCATGCGCCGCTCGCACTCCTCCACCATCTCCAGGACCTTGCTGAGGTTGGCGATGAC